TGACAGAAAGGTCTTCAGGAAGGGCAGACAAGCACTTTACAGGGCTTTGGACTTAACCTAAGAGCACGTCCTGCTGAACTTAGTGAGATTTACTCCTGAGTAAAAACATGCTGGTCCCAGCTGCAAGAGACCTTAGACTTGAACTCGCGCCCATTGCTTGCTGAGGCTGAGAGCCTGTGGTAGGGACCCCTCCACCCATCTCCTCTGGGCATGCTGAGAAAGCCAGAGCTCTGAGCTAGGATGCGAGCCAAGTCCTTCCAAGTCTCTGTTCCCGATCGGCAGAACCCAGACCCCATTGACAAGAGATTCGACTTTGCCTGGCAAGATGTCCATCTCCCATCCTAGAAGAAGTAGACAACTTGTAAGAGCAGATCAAAATTACGTGGCTGTGAAGGAAGTGGGATGGCTATTGTTTCACTTGGCAGGAATTGCTGAAAAGGGGCGTTAAAAGGTCAACTTTACTTTTGAGCTAGAATATAGAAGCTTTTTGGGGGGTGTGTCTTTACTTCTGGTGTACAGATAATTATCTTCCTGATCGCCTATGGCTGGTCAAGGTTTCTTCTAGGTGAACAAGGAACTCGTATAAAATGTGGAAGTTCTTATCCCTCCACCTTTGCAGCAACCGATAGCCCACCAAGGTTAGTTTAAACTGGTGCACGGGCTAGCATCTCTTGTCATGGATGGCAACATTTGTGCAGAGATCAGAAATAACTGGCAATTAATTGCTCTCTTTAAAGGGCTTCTGCTTAACCATAGGTAGAGCTCAACTGACAGACCCAGGTGGTGCTTGGTTACAGACGGAAGGCTAGTTGAACGTCCCAAATGGCCCAATCCTGGATGGTGTCCAGTTTTTTTCAGCTGTGGTTTGAAGGCTGAATGTGACCATTTCCAGGGTTAATCATCTGTTTGTTTGCACTCTTGAAGCACAATGCCTTCACAAATGGGGGACTGATGATGTGGCCAGCACCTGCCAGGTAACTAGCAGAACCTTCTGCTGCGAAATGTTTCCAGGGCAGCTGCGTTTGGGCTTGAACGCCAGCCGTTCATTCACCACCCTCTAATCAACCGTGGAAAAAACTGATAACTTAGTTGCCAGAGTTCAGCTTGGGTTCACCTTAGCCTTGGGTAAAGTTTTGAGTTCAGCTGAACCCGAAAGAGAAGAACTTTACCGCTTTGCGAAAAGCACTCAGGTGGGACCAGGTGGAGGAGCAGCAGGGCGGCGGAGATGCTGGGATGGAACGTGGGTCCTTCTCTGGCCAGCATAGCAGGCGTTTTATGGCTGTGGCCCTGTGCGTTAAGTGGGGAGGGGGGAAATCCTGTTCTGAGGTCCTGTGCCAGGAGCAGGGTGTCCAAAGGGGGGGTGCTCCCCCCCTAACGCCGTCCCCCCTGTTGTAGCCCTTCACCTTCCTGCACATGCAGGCTGTATCCACTTCGAAAAGATTTGTGAAATTCGCTCTGTGTGAGATATTTGTCATGAAGGGAGGAGATTTTCCAGGAAACGGCCTGGCTTCCCACAATGTCTCCTCCTTTTCCAGACAGCTGGGAAAGCAAACAGGGCTGAGGCATCCAGAATATTCAGGTTCACATCACTTTTCTTGCTCTGTACATGAAGAAAACCTGCCGACCCCCCGAGCTGCTCACTCCCGGATGCGTCGGGGGGCCAGGGATTGCGCCGGCAGGATTCCCTCTCTCTCTCTGTGCTGGGGACGGACGTGTTTGCCTTCCTGCTCTCCCGTGGCGTGGCCTCAACCACCATTCAGGGGATTCTGCTTCACCTCCTGTGTCCTGCGGCTGTTCCTCAGAGCTGTGCCTTGTGCTCGTTCTAGTTGGGAGACTTGGGGATTTGCCCAGGCAGAATTGCTTCCCTTTTTTGGAAGGTGGCTGGGAAAGTTGCCCAGGTTCACCCACAACCATGGAAGAGTCCACCTCCCTTTCAGAAGGGAATCCGTTGTGGTTCTTTATGGCATGGCTCTGTTGAGAAGGGGAGCTGGGGATCCCAAAGCCCCAACCCGATGGTGTCCCCAAACTCACAAGATTTTTCCTTTCTGGTCTTTTTTTTCATGGAGACTTCCCCCCCCTTTTGTTAATTAAAAACCAATCATCACTGCTTTTTGTAACTGGAAAATAAGGCCTTAGAGGGTATTTCTCTGTGGCAGTCCCTTGGGTTGTAATTACTATTACGGGTTCTTTATGGCATGGCTCTGTTGAGAAGGGGAGCTGGGGATCCCAAAGCCCCAACCCGATGGTGTCCCCAAACTCACAAGATTTTTCCTTTCTGGTCTTTTTTTTCATGGAGACTTCCCCCCCCTTTTGTTAATTAAAAACCAATCATCACTGCTTTTTGTAACTGGAAAATAAGGCCTTAGAGGGTATTTCTCTGTGGCAGTCCCTTTTATGTTGTTGTTGTTGTTGTTGTTAATAATACTAATACTAATACTAATATTAATATTTATTTATTTATTTATATCCCGCCTATCTAGTCAATTAAGACCACTCTAGGCGGCTTACAACTTACTATTACATAATAGCACTTGTGTGATATAACTAGTTTGTAACTACAAATTCTTAAGTCTGCTTCCTCTTAGGGGAGTCCTGTGCCACCTTGAAGACTGGCAAGTTTGTTGATTGATTGGTTGATTGATTGATTGAATCACTATGAAGACTGGCAAGTTTGTTGATTGATTGATTGATTGATTGATTGATTGATTGAATCACTTCTTGGGGCAGTTTGCATACTTAAGCCAAGCTATAACAAATGAAAAAGTAAAAAACAAAAACAAAATGCATGATACCACAAACCAAACCAAAACAAAGTCTTTTTATAAGACACAAGTTTTCATGGATTGCGAAAGAAGGCTTGTGATCTGTGAACAGTAAAATGGGATAGGGTTTAAACGCTGGCTCTATGGCTTGAAGAGCGGGATGAGCGCCGCCCCCTAGAGTCGGACACGACTGGACAAAAAAAATTGTCAAGGGGAACCTTTACCTTTACCTTTTTTCATGGATTGCGAAAGAAGGCTTATGATCTGTGAACAGTAAAATGGGATAGGGTTTAAAGGGCCAGGCTTGGCTGTGACAAATTGACACAACTCGCTCCCAGATGTTTCTGTGTATCTGAAGGCCTTTGTTCCCTCCCGAGCTTCTTTGGTGCCTCCCCCTTTGTCTTTCTTTTGTTTCCCTTGTTTCCTCCTCGAATGGGCCTCCTAGGTTGCTTGGTTCTTGGGAAAGGGGATTACAGTATTAGGTAAGGCAAGAGGAGAGTGGAGCACCTGAAGAAATAAGCATAACACAGAAAAGGAAATGGAACAGGGCACTGTGTGGACCCACACCAGAGCAGTGGGCAGGTGGAAGTCACATGAAGCCTTTAATTTCCTCCAGTGGTATTTTAATGTCACTGGGTGATTTAACTAGCATTTCCATAGCATTGGAAGCTGGCAGTTTCTCTCCTTGTTTTTTGGTTAGAAATCTCGGGTGCTGATGAGGCCACCTTGGCAGCCACACAGGATGGCCCAAGTCCAAGAAGAGAGGAAGTGGAGAAGGGAGCCTTCAACCTCAGGACTTGTACTCAAAGGGGTCGGGGGGGGGGAGGGTCCTCTGACCCTTTCTGGCCCTTGTAAAATCTCCTGGGAGCTCTCAATGCAGCTTTATACCTCCCGTCCCCTTTTTTCCCTTCATATCTTTTAGAGAAGATGGATGCTGGGTTGCAGGTTTGAATTCCTCTCCTGCCATGGACTGGGGCAAGTTGTTGGATCGTAACTACAATGTCCTCATCTCTGTTTTTGTTTCTTGTGCTCCTTTTTGTGCAAAGATGGGGAATAAAAGTAAAAGGAATGGTTGATTCCCTCCTGCAGCTTCCTGAGGGTGGGGGTGGAACTGTCCAATGTTTAGGTTGGCTTCCCCCCCCCACCTCTCCGGTGATGGAAGAGCTGTCTGACCTGCTCTGTGGCTTAAGAGCCACCCCATATTTCTATTGTACTTGGTGTTCATTCTAAAAGAAACCCCCCCAACATACACTCAGAGAGGATCTGGCGAAATGGGGCAGATGAAGTTGCTGTGATCCATAGAGTTCCTCTCAAAAGATAAAGACAACTTTGGGTGCCTAATGTAGTCTGGGGTGTCTTGGTTCTGTGACCTCTGTATCCCACAATAGCTCAAAACCTTGGCCATCGGCTTCCTGGCGGGGGGATGCCTTTGAATTCCTAAGTAACGAAAGAATTCTTTCTCCTGAGATGATAGATTGCTCCCACCACCCAAACGCTTTGTCCACCTGAAATCTTATCATTAATATGTCAATAGCACAATGCCATGGGCATTTTGTAGGCTGGCAGGCGAAGCATGGGGGGGGGGGGGGAGCCTTTGAATTCCTAAGTAACGAAAGAACTCTTTCTCCTGAGACTAACTTCCAAACAGTCCCTCCCAGATGTGGGAATGCCGGCCAGTTTCCAGGATGATGATCCAGGCAGGCTGATAGATTGCTCCCACCCACCCAAATGTTTTGTCCACCTGAAATCTTACCATTAATATGTCAATAGCACAATGCCGTGGGCATTTTGTAGGCTGGCAGGCGAAGCGTGGAGGGAAAAGGATCAACCCTGCCAGCTCTGATCAATTGCTTCTTACTGGAGAACTGAGATTAGGAAATGGTGAAGAGCCTCAGCATTTAATCCTCTCTAGACCAGCCCTTCTTAAGGGGGACAGGAGGGGATTAGGAAATGGTGAAGAGCCTCAGCATTTAATCCTCTCTAGACCAGCCCTTCTTAAGGGGGACAGGACATACAGCCCCCCCAGGGGGCCTGGCCCATTGGAAGGGGGCCACAGACTGCAAACAATTTCTTGCACATCACCTTATAAGGTTTGTTTTGCAACTTACACTATCCTGGTTTGGAGAACGTTTTTTTCCTATTGTGTATATGGCCATGACCAAAGAAGAGTGGATGATGCTCCCAAACGCCATCATTTTCCAGTATTTATTGTGGGTTTCCCCCCCTCTTTCTCCCTAGGTTGACAAGTACCTGTATCACCTGCGGCTTTCAGATGAGATCCTGCAGGATGTCTCGGCCCGGTTCCGGAGAGAAATGGAGAAAGGCCTGGGGGCGGACACCAACCCCACCGCCGCGGTCAAGATGCTGCCCACCTTTGTGAGGTCCACCCCTGATGGAACTGGTAAAGCATGAAAGGAGGGGGGAGCCGGTCTCTCCCTTAATTTAGGCCTGAGATCCCCAAACCGGTCCTAATTCTCAAAACCTTGTGGCAGGAAATGTGAACATTCAGCGGAATGCTTTTCCTCTGCATGATTTGAAATGGTCAGCAAATCCTCTGGACTGGCCAGTTCTTGAGGAGAATCTTTGTCAAGTCTTTGGGTTGTTTTTTTTTTCCTGTCCAAAACTTTGCTCCACTCCCAAATCCTAGGGTTTGCTCACTTGAGCAATAGTTTCAAGTGGGAGTGACGGCACATAATTTCCACAGAGTTGAAAATAGTTTGAGAGGTTTTGTTCCCAATGGTGTATATGGAGATACATAACTTTGATTTAAAATTTGTCTCTTGTTGCCTCTAATCTAACTTTAAAAAATGATTTGGATTTTTAAACCTGCAACATGTATCCTTGTTTCTCATGGTAAGGTAGATGACCAGCACTATCCTCCCTGCAGCCCTTCCCCGACATGGTCTCTTTTAGATATTTTGGTCCATTGACCCCATTGTCCCTGATCGTTAGCCACACTGGCTGGGGCTGATGGGAGCTGTAATCCGGATCAGAGGGTGATGTTTGGGGGAAGGGAGAAATGCACCTTTGCATGCACTGGCAGGCCGCTCTCTGGTGCTAGGTGGGAACCGTGCTGGGCCAAAATGCGCTCTGACAGCTGGTCCCTGGGTGCAGAGGCAGGCTGAGCATGGTGGGTGTCACGTGGAATTGCAGGGTGTTTCGATTCGTTGTTTGCAATCTGACGCACATGCACACCCATCGTACAGGAAGTCATGGGTTGGAAACCTGTCTCAAGATATTTCCTGTCAGCTTCCTCCTTCTGCTGATGGGTAGTCTGATTTCATCTCCCACATCATTTCTCTCTCCCTCCCTCTGTGTGTGTGTGTGTGTGTGTGTGTGTGTGTGAGAGAGAGAGAGAGAGAGAGAGAGAGAGAGTCTTTTCTTTGCTGAAATGAATGTAAAGAGCTTGCCCCACCTTCTCTCATGTTGTGCCATTGCTGCCTCTCCTTCCCCTGAGCCTGCTGTTGTTCACACTGACTGTCCCATATTCTTGCCAGCGCCCCCCCCCCTGCCCTGCCTGGAGATGCAGCTGAGAATTGAACCTGCCGTTTCTTGCACACCAAGCGTGTTTGTTACCTCTGAGCTATTTGGTGGGCCAGGGTGCCTTTCTGTGTTGTTTCCACTGCTGGATATTGCAAGGGTGAATGGGGTGAAAGGCACGCAGTCTAAGTAATAAAATGGCCAAGCTGTAATGTCTAAGGGGCACTGGCGAAGTTTTGGGCTGGAGTGGCCATTTCTGAGGGTCTAAGGGGCTCCCCCGTATCCCCAGACCTTAGAAACCCAGTTGCCCATGGGGGAAATGGCAAATTGTTCCTACTCAGAGGACTTTGGAAGGCAAGAGGGGGTGGGAGCTGTCATGGAAAGCCTTTCCCCTGGGCGTGCGCAGAGTGACTTTACAAAGCATGCCACTTGTCTGTTCCTATATAGTGTGGTGTTATGAGATTGCTAAACTAGGATTCAGAGGACCGGTGTTTTAGGGGTGGCCATTCGCAGCCTGACCCTACTTCACAGTAGAACAGTTGACAGTGACAACAGGGGTGATGTTTGTAACTCAGAGAGAGGGAAGCGGGAAGTCCCAGCTGGATTTCACCGCAAGGGCCAGAAGCCTCTTGATGACCTTCACGAGCTGTAGAGACTTCTTGAGAGGTGTGCACACTTGTATTTATGGTGATACAAGGTCTGTGGTTTCAGAGTTTGTTGTTTTGGGGGATAAACGAACTTGATGGAGAGGGGTCATCTTCGGAGTAGCTTGGAGGAACAAAGCAGGCCTCTTGGCCAAGGAGGAAGAAGGTCACGGCTCAAGCAGCCGTCTGACACTTGTTGACGTGGCCGTCATTTTGAAAAAGGGGGTTGGCAGCCGGTCAGAAATGCTCCCCATGCCTTCTGGAAGGTATTGTTGCCTTGTAAATGAGATACCGGGGCTGGAGGGTTGGTTCGGGGCCAACCGGACCCCCAAACCCCTCCAGAGGCCAGGCAGCCAAAGGGAGCCCCTTCCAAGTCCAGGTTCTGCCACCAGGCTGGCGCCTCCCGCAGCTCTTGCAAAAGCTGGCTCCCTGCTTTGACAGACTGGGGCAACCGTGGACCCACAGCTCCCACGGGGGCCTCACGTTGGCAGCCAAGCAGCCCTCCCAAGCAGGGAAAGGTCATTTCAAGACTTTTGCAAGAGGTTCAGGGCAGAGAAGTGCAAAATTGAGGCCTCGGTGGGGTGGGGTGTCTGCCTGCTTTGCATCTCTGGCAGGCAGTTCCATTTGGAGGAGCCGCAGAGAGGCTGGGAGCTCTTGTGAGCCACCGAGAAAGCAGGGAAGGAGCGCCCTCCTCCCTAACTGCAGTCCAGGGTCAGCTCGGTCCACGGGGCCTGCTTGCTCTCTTTGGGGCCAAGGCAGCTTCTTTCCATAGCTTGAATCTGGCAGTGGCTGCTGCTGCTGCTGAAATGTTGCGGAACGCCGTACCTGCAATTGCTGCGTGGCTTACCAAGAATCCGTTGGGGCAGCTGCCTTCCTGTGAGTGCTGGGCGTCTCTTTTCTGGCATCTGCCTTGATTGACAGGGACAGGATGCAGGAGGGGCCCCCAAGAATTGAGGACAGGCAAGGGTGCTCGCCAGATGCTTTTGGCCTCTGCATCCCATCAGCTTTGGCCAGTGTAGCCAGAAGTGAGGACGGTGGAAGGTACAGTCCGAAAGGACCTGGGCAGACACAGATGTAAATCAAGGGCTGCTGGAAATAGCCCTCTGGAGAGCTGCATTTGGATAAATTAAATAAATTCATATGTGAAGTTAAGGTAACTTAATAACTTTTAACAGAATGTCCTCAGGGTGCATTTTGCTGGAAATCTCTTCTGTGCAAGTCCTGTCTCAAAGGAACTGAAGCTGCACAAGGGCTGGTTGCACGTTCAGTCGCCATGGATAGTGGGTGCAGATTACGTGGAATTGAGGGCTGGCTATAGCGGGCACGCACGGCCACGTGGTCGGTTGCAAGAAGCTCACCTGTGAGTGGCGCTCTTCCTCCATCTGGAGGCCCTGCTCTAGGCTACTTCTCTGATTGAGGGATTGTATGCTGAGAGGGCTGGCAGGGAGATCTTGTCAATCAGGGCTGGGCAAAGAGTGGTCTGCAGGCTGGATGCATCATCCTCCCCCCCATGAGCCTGCCACTACTTTAAAACATTTTCATTTAGTTCAAAAATATCATCTTCTGCTGTTAGAAAGTCCCCAGAAGTGCTGATCAGAGGAGATTGGAAAATCCACTTCCAGTTTAAGAGAGTTTGGGAACAGGACCCTCCGAAGCTTCCCTCCCCCCCGCCTGCTGTAGATGGTATTCCAAAGGACAGAGCGAGTTCACTGTGGGACAGGGGGCTGCTCCCTTCCACAGTTACGCAGACCCCAGAACTGAGTAGATTACAAAGGACAGAGCGAGTTCACTGTGGGACACGGGGCTGCTCCCTTCCACATTTACGCAGACCCCAGAACTGAGTAGATAAAATGTTTCTGATCGTTGTGGTCTTTCTTCACCCCCCCCCCCCTTGCAGAGGAAGGAGATTTCCTGGCCTTGGATCTCGGGGGCACAAATTTCCGGGTGTTGCGAGTCAAGGTGGCAGACAACGGGAGCAAGAAGGTTGAGATGGAGAACCAGATCTATGCTATTCCTGAGGATCTGATGAGAGGCAGCGGCGTGCAGGTGAGCGGCTCAGCCTTGCCCAAGCTCGTCTCGGCCCGGCCCCGCCTTGGCCCTCCCGGCTCGAGCACCGTCACGGCGGGGCGTTGTGCATTCCAGGGGGAAAGAAACCTCTCTCTCTTTCCGGGGATTAGTTTGGCCTGCATTTCACCCTGCAGTGCTGCCGAAGTCAGCCTGTGGAGTGTTAACCTGAGAGATGGCCAGGCAGGTGAGACTTACCTGCACCCATGTTTGGGAAAAGGAGGTGCTTGTCTTCTGTTAAGTTGCAGATTATATACGATGGATGAGTTAGGCACTTCTTGCTACGCTGCATGAGTTGGCAATTCATGTGGGCTTCCTTTAGAGCAAAAGGGGGGAGTGTTGCTGTACTGGGTAGCCTTTCCTTGCTAATCAGACTTGTAGGAAACTCTGTCTGCTGGTCAACACATACAGTCATGCCCTGATTAGTGCTCAGGATGTGTTCCAATAAAAAGTATTAACTGGATGATGTCCTAAACAGAGCAGCTTAATCTTGCTCCTTAGGGCTGGTGATCTGAAGGCCCGGTCTACCTCCAGCACAGAGTGGTGAGATTGGGCCACCTAACCAGAGTGCTTTAGTTTTCCAGAGACCGGGGTTATTGCTGGTGCAGAAAGGGTTGACGATGGTCTTCTGGAAGCCCGGCCTCCCTGTCCAGCTAGACTGGCTCCCAGTTGAGCCCAGCAAAAGGGCCTCTGGAACTTCTGCACCAGAACATATTGACGCTGGATCATGTCAATATGGAACACTTTGTGCCGGGTTTTGCTGTTGTGCTTTTGAATGACTCCGTCTGAAAATGTCAATGCAGTCAGTGGCTGTAATAGAGCATAATGCATACACAATAAGTGAGTTGACCTATGCAGATCATGCCATCTTTAGGTGAGACTATGAAATAGAGAGTTTGACTGCACAGAAGAGGCTTACGTCAGTAAGCGTGTTTTAATGGCATCAAAACAACTAGTTTGCGTGTTGGTGCATCTGTCCAGGGATACAGTCACACTGCAAACTGCCTAATGCCGCTTTGGTGCATCTGTCCAGGGATACAGTCACAATGCAAACTGCCTAATGCAGTTTCCCCCACTAAGGGGAACTGAAAGGAAGGAAATACTCTTTAAGAGCAGCTGAGTGCACACTAGTGGACGCTATGGAAGGTTCCCCCAGTCCAGTCCAGTCCAGTCCAGTCCACCTTCCCATCTCCAGGAGGGCTTCCTAAACATAGGTCTGCCTCTCCCTCCTCCAGCTCTTTGATCACATTGCCGAATGTCTGGCCAGCTTCATGGACCAGCTGCAGATTAAGGCGAAGAAGCTGCCCCTGGGATTTACCTTCTCCTTCCCTTGCTACCAGACCAAACTGGACGAGGTGAGTGGAACGCTGGCCCTTCTGGGAGCGATAACTGGACCAGACCAAACTGGACGAGGTGAGTGGAATGCTGGCCCTTCTGGGAGCGATAAATGGGCTTTCTTTCTTTCTTTCTTTCTTTCTTTCTTTCTTTCTTTCTCTCTCTCTCTCTCTCTCTCTTTCTCTCTCTCTCTTCCTCTCTCTTCCTCTCTTCCTCTCCCTCTCCCTCCCTCCCCCTCCTTGATTCTTCCTTCCTTCCTTTTTCTCAAGATGAAAGGCCATGTGGGGATTTTCTAGGCATTAAGGAACAAAGCCTCTCCAGGATTAGGAAAGGCTCTCTTGTGGCTCAGCCTTCTTTCTCTTCACCAGAGCATCCTCGTTACGTGGACCAAGGGTTTCCGGTCGAGTGGCGTGGAAGGGAGGGATGTGGTTTCCCTCTTGCGGAAGTCCATAAAGAAACGAGGGGTAAGCTCAAGAACGTTCTCCTTCCCCATATTTCTGTCTTGTTTTTTTCCTAGGAATATCAGGAGTTGGGAGCAGGCAGGGGGTCTCCTAGCCTTGTTCCCAGAAAGCTGGACTTGATGGGACCCAGGGCTGGGGATTTTGAGTTGTGAGTCTCACTGTCAAGTCGGACTTCATTTGAAGTGGTCAAGTTGACTCAGATTTGCCTCTTTGTTTTTTTGCTTTGTTCCCCCCCCCCAATGACTCAGACTCAAACCTCAACTCAGAACCCACCCACCCCCCCCTTTTTTCTGGGGGAAAAGCTTGTTTTTAGTAGGGACTTGGTTTTGGGCTCAGGACTTTGTACCAAAGACTTGGGAGTCAAGAGTTGGACCCAAACACTTGGCCAACATTCCTGGTGGAACTGAAGCCCTGGCACCCTCGTGTGGAAATGGCAGCGCTTCAGCTTTTCCTCCCTCCCTTCCTGTCTTGCAGGATTTTGACATCGATATTGTTGCAGTGGTGAATGACACTGTGGGAACCATGATGACCTGTGGCTATGATGATCACAACTGTGAAGTTGGACTTATTGTTGGTAAGATGTAACTGGCCTGCACTTTGCCTGCTCAGATTTAAGGCAGCTTTTATTCAATAAGGCCTCTGATTTGTTTGTCTTAAGACTTGTCTCTGGGATTTTTCTTTACTTGGTGTCCCTTGGTGAATGGCAGTGAGCACAAGAGGCGATCCTGTAGACCATCTTGACTACTGCCATTGTTGTTCTCAACATTCTTTTTGCTCCTGGCAGTGCATTGCATCCTCACCTCTGCTGACCAGGATTTCTGGGAGTTGAAGTCTAAGAACCTCTGGAGGCCCAAGGTTGGAGACGACTGCTTTAGACCATCTTGACTGCTGCCATTATTGTTCTCAACATTCTTTTTGCTCCTTGCAATGCAAAGCATTGCATCCTTTTCTCCTGCTGGAAACCCAGGCATGATATTATGCAGCAAGCTCAGGCCATTTCTTGGCCTTTTGCATCATGGGCAGAGAAGCACAACATCCAACATTCATCAACTGTTTTTTTTTTTTAAGAACTGAATTTTTGTAGCAAAGCATTGCATCCTTTTCTCCTGCTGGAAACCCAGGCATGATATTATGCAGCAAGCTGAGGCCATTTCCTGGCCATTTGCATCATGGGCAGAGAAGCACAATATCCCACATTCATAAACTGGGTTGTTTTTTTTTTAAGAACTGAATTTTTGTTGTCAGTCTGGCTGTTACTCCTCAGACTATTTGAAGGAGAAAGGCAGACAACTGAAGGACCCTGGACTGCTGTCTTGAAGGTTCAGCCTCTCACTCAACTTCCTCTGCTTCCCCCTTCATCTTTCCAGGCACTGGTACCAATGCTTGCTACATGGAGGAGATGCGCCACATTGACTTAGTGGAAGGCGATGAGGGGCGCATGTGCATCAACATGGAGTGGGGAGCCTTTGGGGATGATGGTGTTTTGAATGATATCCGAACAGAGTTTGACCGGGATATTGACATGGGATCGCTGAACCCAGGCAAACAATTGTGAGTGGAAAGCCTTTGCGTGGCTGGAGCCATGGCTTCAGTACTAGTCTCCTGTCACACGTGCCTGTCTCTCTCAGGGGTGGGTGGATTAGGCGGCCCAGAGAGATTCCTCAAAGGCCTTCCTGGGAACACCTAGTGTGGTTGAGAAGTTGTGGTGGAGAAGTTGGACTACTGAACTTTGTGGTTCCCTCTGAGCTCCTTGCCAGGGCTCACGGGAGAAAGGCCACCGTTCCTCCAGAGGCAAAGGTCTTTTGGATTGGTGAAGCACAGACTTACAACCCTTGGCATCCACCTTGTAAAAAATATCAGCGGCTGCTCCATTTCCCTTGGGACCTCAGATGGCTGGAGGGACTGCTCGGAGAGACCTTACGTCCTAAACCCCATTGAATCCGTTGGTCAATTCAAGAACTGATTAAGGCCTCACTTACACAAAACTCATTGATTCAATGGGTCGACTCTAGCCAGCCCTCTAGGAGGCACTAGCCATTGGGTTTTAGGACTCTTACTTGGGCTTCTTCTTCTTTTTTTTTTGGACGAGGTGGAGCCATCTGCACATGGCTCTAGCCGTCTCCTTCCAGTGAACCCCTTTCCTCTCTGCAGATTTGAGAAGATGATCAGCGGCATGTACATGGGCGAGCTGGTCAGGCTTATCCTGGTGAAGATGGCCAAGGAGGAGCTCCTGTTCGAGGGAAGGCTCACTCCGGACCTGTTGACGACGGGACACTTCGAGACCAGATACGTCTCGGCCATTGAGAAGTGAGTCAGCTAACAGTTGGGACCTCTGGCTGAAAAGTCCCTCTGCCTTGGCTGGCCACACCAGAGGTGGCCAAGGGGGTGGGTCCTCCAGGCACTTCTGTGCGCTTGATTCCCCATGAGTGCATCCCTTTGCAGAACCTGGTGATCGCAGTGATGTGGGCTGGTGACGAAATGAAAGGGGAACGCCTATGTATCATAAGAGGCAACCCCATTTTTGAATGACCTCACCCTCATTGAAGCAAAGAAGCAGCCCCAGTCCAGTCTGTTCCCCGATGTGCTGGGTGCCACGTGATTTTGTTGGGGGCCAGAGATGGCATGAGAACCCCTTTAGGCCCCTTCCTGGTCGAAGCTGGGCTGGTGATGCAGGCAGCCACGTTCTGTTGGAGTTGTGATCATGCATTAAATGGCATGATCACATGCTAACAACTCCAATGCCCTTTCTCAAGGCAGCATGCAAGATTGGCTACAATCCTCCTCTGATTCACCCTTTGGGGTGGGGAGGGGAGAAGAGGTGGACACTTTGGGTGGTCTAAGAATGGGATTTTTGCCCCCAAGACCCACCGTGGGCTACCATTGACATCAAAATGGCCAAAAGCCATTATTCGTATTCAAAAACGCTAGGCACCATCAATCCAAATTATAAAAACATTGGCTGATATTATATAGCAGACACAAATTTCAGCCAAAAACCTAAGATGACGACGACAACGATTTTAAATCAAAACTGAAAGTGTTCAGGCATCCAGTTCCAGTCGACTGGGCAGGTGGGTGGGACATTCTGGGTTGGTATCACTATGACCCGCTCAATGTAAAAAGCATGGGTGCAGCCCAGAAAATATTTGCACTCTGTGGCAGAGTAGTGGGGAGGGTCCATGGGCACCTGGGGGAGGGGGTTCAATAAGCCCGGGATCCACTTGTAGCTGTCAACTCCAGCCCCTTCGCCCCGTCCATGGGCACCTGGGGGAGGGGGTTCAAAAAGCCTGGGATACACTTGTAGCCGTCAACTCCAGCCCCTGCTTTTAGCCATGGGACAAACACCCCATGCCATGCCCAAAGGAAGGGGGGGAAGGGTTTTTTGGATCCCATGCTTTGTCCTGGGGAGGAGTGTCCTTTGAATCAGGACCTTCCTGCTGTGGGGCAGGAATTGCAGCCTGCCCTGCTCTGCTCTGCCCTTCCCTTCCCTCCCTGCCCCCCAACTCACTTGTTGCCCTCTGGCCTTTCAGGGAGAAGGAAGGCCTGTCCAAAGCCAGAGAGATCTTGACCCGTCTGGGCCTGGAGCCCTCCCACGATGACTGTGTAGCCACCCAGCGCATCTGCGAGATTGTCTCCACCCGCTCAGCAAACCTCTGTGGCGCAGCGCTGGCTGCCGTGCTTCGGCGCATCAAGGAGAACAAAGGAGTCAACCGGCTGCGCTCCACCGTCGGGGTGGACGGCACCGTGTACAAAAAACATCCCCAGTAAGTGGAGGGGCTGGAAGGGAACCACTTGGGCCACGAGCAAGTGGGGGCCCCTTTGGCGGACTTAGAAGGAAGGCCCATGGTGGGGGTGGAGCAGTTTCCCCACTCCTGGTGAAGCAGGCGAGGGGCCCCGTGGTCCCATGGGCAGCGAAGGTGCTCCTCCAGACCTTCCCCTGATGGTCGCAGGTAGACGGATCTTTGGAAAAAACTTTTCCCAGGTACTTTGAGCAATGATTCCCAATCTTGGGCCTCCAGGTGTGGTTGGACTCCAACTCCAAGGAATCCTGGCCAGTACAGCTAGTGGTGAGGGCTTCTGGGAGTTGTAGTCCAAGATCATCTGAGGATCCAAGGCTGAGAACCACTGAGTTTACAGATTGAAACTAACCTTCAAAGGGGACTGAGGAGTAGGCCATCTGAGGATCCAAGGTTGAGAACCACTGAGTTTACGGATTGAAACTAACCTCCAGAGGGGACTGAGGAGTAGGTTGTATGAAAAGGGGTGGGCTGTAGGACCCATGGCCCACGCCAATCAGAATGTCCCAGGGCTGGAACCCTGGGAGCCCTGGTACCACTGGAGGCAAGGAGGACAGTGAGCCACAGGGGAAGCTATGAGGGCATCTAACCTCACCTGCCAAAGCAGTTGGATAGCCCTCTGGCTTAGCAGTGCTGGTTTGCAATGGCTTCTGTCTCCATCCCGTGCCTTCTGCAGTTTTGCCCGGCGCCTCCAGAAGGTCGTGCGGCGCCTCCTCCCTGATTGCGAGATCCGATTCATCCGGTCCGAAGACGGGAGCGGCAAGGGTGCAGCCATGGTCACCGCTGTAGCTTACCGCCTCGCAGCGCAACACAAAGCCCGGCAGAATATTTTGGACCCCCTCCGGCTGAGCCATGAGCAGCTGCTGGAGGTCAAAGAGAGGATGAGGGAGGAGATGGAGCGGGGCCTGGCTCGGGAGACCCACGAGGAGGCCACTGTGAAGATGCTGCCCAGTTACGTGTGCTCCACGCCGGACGGAACAGGTGATGGAGCAGCCAGGGGTGTGTGTGTGGGGGGGGGTCCCTGTGCCGCTGAGGCAAGAGGGAGGGTTGTGGACCAGCAGGATGTCTTGCAGATTCAATCGAGGGCCTGAGCTCCGCCTGGGAGCCCTCAGCCACTGGGGCTTCTGAGATACCCTGAGCATGGCCCGTGCATCTACAAAAAAATTACGCCTACACTGTGGAAGTTCCTGGTGGATTGTGGCCTTGTACGGGATCTGTCAGCCAGCCAACTAGAGCAGCTGAACGTGGTGCTAAAAGCGAAGTGTCTCTTGGTTTCAGAAAAAGGGGACTTCCTGGCTTTGGACCTGGGGGGCACCAACTTCCGGGTGCTGCTGGTGCGCCTACGGAATGGGATGCGGCGCAGCGTGGAGATGCACAACAAGATCTACGCAATTCCCCAGGAGATCATGCAAGGGACAGGAGATGAGGTGAGGGCATGGAAATGGAGCTTGGGGGAGGCTCGGGGGGGGCACAGAGCAAAGAGCAAAAAGCTCTCCTTTCCAGACAGGCCAAGCATCTGAAGCCCTTCCAGTTAGAAGGGATGTGGACCTTGCGCCTTGGTTAGGGGGAAAATCTTAGAGAGCTTCTAGAAGAAAGGGTGCAATATTAGACAGACCAGGGGCCGGAACTTTGCAGAAGCCAATTTCTTGCAGGTTAAGGATCCCTGGATTAATGCAAAGGCTTCTCTTTCTGCCATACTCCTGAAAGTGTGATCAAGTTAAATGCTGTGCGTGCACACATACACCCCCAGAAAGAATATCCTCACATGTTCACACACTTCCAGTTTGATCACAGGCAGATGAGAAGGTCTTGCATGGGGGAGCACATCTTGCTGTGGCTGGTAGTTGACCCCTGGGCTGGTCCCTGGATGTTTTGGCAACTGATGGAAGAAATGCCGCCCTTTGAATTCCCTGCGGTTTTGCACATAGTCTTCCTCCCTCCCTCCCTCCCTCCCTCCCTCCTTTGACAAATACCTCTTCCCAGAGAGACTGGTGACAGGACCTGACCTGCTCCTTCCTCTGATTCCCCTCAAAATACGTCCCAGTCTGGTTTGAAAACATGTCCTCTCTCACATGATGTGCAAGACAGCGGTGGTATTCCCGGGCCCTCGGTCATTTTGAGCAGGGTGGGGACTTTGGCCCTGCAGGAAGAGAAGCATAAACCTGCTGCCTCTTGGGCACGGCCGCCGGTTAAGCTGGCTCTTAATCAGGTTGAACAGGTTCTCCTGACCGCTGCTTCTCCCTTCCAGCTTTTCGACCACATCGTCCACTGCATTTCGGACTTCTTGGAATACATGGGCATGAAGGGGGTCTCGCTCCCTCTCGGCTTCACCTTCTCTTTTCCTTGTGAGCAGAAGAGCCTGGATGAGGTAAGCGCTGGCCAGCCTCCCTCTGGTCTCCCTTTGTCGTAGATCATTCCAGTGACAAAACTTGTTGAGAGAGAAATAGAAGGGCAAATAAGTAGAATACTGGGGTAGTCCGACCAGTTTTCATATCCGGGGATGGGTTTGCAAGCGGGGGAAGTCCCTGATGGACAGAACCTCCCCAAAGGAACAAAACTGCAAAGACACAGGAATCTGGGCCACTCCGAAGAGTTGAGAACAGGATGGAAATGGCTGAAAATCAATTAGTTAAATTATAAGTCCTTCTTTAAACTCATTGGGACATCTGTACATCGAAAAGTACTGTATTTTGGTAATGGTCTTTAGTACACACACACACACACACACACCTGCCTAAGAAGCCAACAGGGCATTGGTCCAGATGTAAGGGCAATGTAAGCAACGGTATCATAGGCTAGGGAATGTTTTGTGCTGCCCCAGCAGCCTGCCCATATCCTTTGGGATTTTATAAAAGTCCAACGATCCAGCCTCAGGATTTTTTATATTTTGGCTTTCATTGTGGGTTGGCGTCACCTCTCCTTTCTGTTGCGTGTCTCTCTGAAAGGGTATCCTCCTGAAATGGACCAAAGGTTTCAAGGCTACCGGCTGTGAGGGAGAAGATGTGGTGGCCTTGCTGAAAGAAGCCATTCACCGGAGAGAGGTGAGTCTCGTTCCCTGAAAAGCACCAGGAGAAAAGAAGACCTTACGTGCCCCCCTCCAAAGCCCAAAAACTGCATGGTGGGAAAGCAAAGTTAGGAGCATGGAAGGATCTAAGGGAGGGATGGAGACGATCTGGCTCATAGCCAGCAAGCTTCCTTCTTGGGACATCTGTGGAATGTGACCCCGGGCAAACCCTGATGATTGCTCCTTTAAAAGGAAAAAAAATCCCCCCTTCCCCCATTTTGCAATGTGATTCTCTCCTGATAAGAAGTAACTCCCATGTCATAAAGCAGGCTGGGAAGGGTGGGAGGGAAGTAGTCTTCATGTGCCTTGGAAGGCACGAGAGGGCTGTTAAAAGTCAAAATCACTGTGGAAGCCAGGACAGGGGTACCCCCTCTGAGATGGGAGGCAAGGGGGCTGTGTTCAGCCTTGGGCCTCCAAAAACTGCCTATCCTTGATTTAAGGGTACAGTGACTTGTTTGTAAACAGAGTCTTGGCCAAGCTTAGAGGGGGGGGAAACAAACATGTGTTTTCCAGCTTGGGAGAACCCTAGAAATCATAGAGAAGTGGAGTTGGAAAGGGTCTACAAGGCCATCCAGTCCAAGCCCCTGCTCAAGGCAAGAATGCAACCAAGCCTCCAAAAACTGCCTATCCTTGATTTAAGGGTACAGTGACTTGTTTGTAAACAGAGTCTTGGCCAAGCTTAGAGGGGGGGGAAACAAACATGTGTTTTCCAGCTTGGGAGAACCCTAGAAATCATAGAGAAGTGGAGTTGGAAAGGGTCTACAAGGCCATCCAGTCCAACCCCCTGCTCAAGGCAAGAATGCAACCAGACGCTGGCTGTCCTCTGCACTTACACTCACTGCTGGTTTCCACTCTTTCTTAGGAGTTTGACCTTGACGTGGTCGCCGTGGTGAACGACACAGTGGGTACCATGATGACCTGTGGTTATGAAGACCCCCTTTGCGAAGTCGGCCTCATTGTTGGTAAGGTTCGAGGCTTCCCATTTTAGAACAGCTGCGTTGCCCCCCTTTTGCCTGAGGATGACTCCGTGGCTGCCAAAGTGTCCATAGGTCCTGCCCCAAAGCCTTCCCTAAAACTGGTGAACTCAGACACCTCTGTAGGGATTGCACCCAAACAGGATAGACTCCCTTGTTTTTCACAAAGGCTAAAAATCCTCTATCAGGATCCTCCATGGGTGTCAGCAAAACCACATTGCAAAGTGGCAAACTGAATGTAATGATTGAGGAACCCAGCCTGCCTGCCGGTTGCAGGACCAGATGCGTGACCCGCGACACATTCAGCCTTTCGATAAATGGGCTTCAAAGAGCAACAGCAGCTTGCAGTTTTGCTTGCACCCGTGTGTAAAATCCCAGTGCATTTTGGGAAAGGCAGGCCCTGAGGAGCCGTGCAGACGGCTGAGACCTTATTCTGTCACTCCCTGGGAAGCCGGCTGAGCCACACTCTGCTCTCTGCGATGCCTACGTAGGTGTGCTTGAGTGCCTTTTCACAGCCATAAGGGGCCATGTCGTTTGTTTGATGCATTTTTAAAACCTAAAAAGACCCCAGATTCAGCACTTGTTTTGGCCCTGTGGCAGCCCCTGGTCCGCCCCTCCTGAGGAATATGCTTCCTCGGCTCTTCCGTCACCCCTCCTTCCTGCGCTTCCAAAGCAACAGAGTTTCTCTTCTGAAGCGTCTCCGCTTGAGCTTCCTATTCATCTGCCTTTTGGATGCCCAAACGCTGCAAGCTCTCCACCAGAAGCCCCCGGCGCTTCTGTCTTCAGAACCTGCAGGGCCAAAGCCAGAAATTATACGTCTTCCACTGTCAAACAGCCGGCCCAGTCTGTCCTGGATTTTAAAAATGTCTTGCCTTTTAATAAAAGCCAACAGACGATGGGAACGAAACTAAGGCAGGCTTTGTCTGGCCCCTTTCTGGTCCATTTGCCCTCGTAGCCAAAGAATAAGAAAGTTGAGGAGACGTTTGTTTCTTAACTGGGCCATTGCCTCAGTTTCCTTTTTGACTTTTGTGACTAAGGGAATGAAGGACTACTTTCTTTCCCCCATTTAATGGAAACTGCGAGACCCCCTTCCCTCCTTTTCTTGTGGAATTGAAGCCACTGCCCAACAATTTGTATTTGGTGTGTTTTAAGCCCTTTTCCTCTCCCTCTTTGCCCTGCCATGTCCTCCTCCTTCAGTGCTTGAGGCCTCTATCCTTTATGAATCCCCAGGTACAGGCAGCAACACCTGCTACATGGAGGAGATGAAGAACATAGAGCTGGTGGATGGGGACGAGGGCCGGATGTGCATCAACATGGAGTGGGGGGCCTTTGGCGACAACGGCTGCCTGGACAACGTTCGGACCGAGTTTGACATCGCTGTGGATGAAAACTCCCTCAACCCTGGGAAGCAAAGGTGAGGGGGGTGTGTGTGTGTGGAGGGGGTTGTTTTAGGGCAGGGATCCTCCTCCCCCTCCCCATTTGTCTGCATTGTTTCTCTCTCCTATCCTCACATAATCTTTAACACACTCAGATCTGCTGTCAAGTATTTTCCTTGTGTGTGGTTTGAGGGGGGAGCAGGACCCCGGTAGCCTTTTTTGAGGACCCCAGTGCCCTGATACTGATTTTTAAAAAATATATAAAAAAAATTTAAATGGGAGTTCCACTGCTGTGGGTTACCAAGAGCTATGGTTGACACATGTGGAATAAACTGCCAGCCCAAAAACTTCACAACCAAAAGGGCATGTTTTGTCACCTTCTATTTTGACTTTTTTCCTCTCCCCTTGAAAAAGAGTGCCCTTATGGGAGGGGGGAATCTCTGTGCCGGGAGCAGCCCACGGTAGGTGTTTAGGGTGGAAAAAAGGAACCCCACTCTTGCTAAAGCACCCAATCTGCCTCAGTGTGCCCTTGAGGCTTAAAAACAGGCCTGCAACCCCGGTTCTGTCACCAGAAAGAGATCCGGTCCAGGCAAAAGGTGTTGTTGCTCCTCATCCGTGCGAAGGCCTTTCCCCTGCAAGGCCGGGGTCGTCCTTTCTCCGCTGGACATTGGCCCTTTTCTTTTCCCAGGTACGAGAAGATGATCAGCGGGATGTACTTGGGCGAGATTGTCCGGAACATCCTGATTGATTTCACCAAGCGAGGGCTGCTCTTCCGAGGCCGGATCTCCGAGCGGCTGAAGACCCGGGGGATTTTCGAGACCAAGTTCCTTTCGCAGATCGAGAGGTGAGAGCTGAGCAGGAGCTGGTGGAGGAGGAGGGGAGAGCCCTCTAGGCTGAGCCCTGCAGGGACCTCCCTGGGAAAGGCCAAAAAGCATCATGGACCCACATCCGCCCCATGGACACAGGCGGAGAAGGCGGAAGGGGACACCCTTGACTTGATCCCTTCCGGAACCTCACAGGGACAATCGAAATATATATTATTGGTATATAACAGGGTGCCCTTTTGTTTCCTGCCTCAGGCGGCCGGAGAGCTTGGGCTGATCCATTCTGTCCCCATCCTCTCCGCATCTCTTTGCTGCCACCTGGAGGTTATAAAGTGCAGTATTCTGCTGATAACTTCTCTTGGTAGCAGGTGAAACCCAGAGATGGAGGGATCACAGGGCTCTGTATTTGCCCCTTTTCCATTTAATCATCATCCTCAGAGAGCTGCAGAGTTGGAAGGGCACCTATGGATCATCGAGTCCTGCTCCATGTCAAGGAGGCCGGGCGGGGGGGTGCGGAATCAAACTCCCAATCTCTCCCCTTTTCCATTTAATCATCATCCTCAGAGAGCTGCAGAGTTGGAAGGGCACCTATGGATCATCGTGTCCTGCTCCATGTCAAGGAGGCCGGGGTGTGTGTGTGTGCGGAATCAAACTCCCAATCTCTGGCTCCTCAGCCTGAAACCTAAACCTCTGAGCCCTCCAGCAGTTCTCTGTGATACATCCAGAGTTATTCCAGAGACCCTAGGCCAGTACATGCCCCCCCTCCACCCCCCTCGCATCTGCTTTGTGACAGGGGCTCCTTTTGAGCAGGCGCAAATTATTTTTCTCAGCTCCAAGCGGTGTTGCATTCTTTCCAGCCAAACTGTCAGGCGTGTTCTCTCTTGCTCTCGCTCTCGCTCTTTCGCTCTACCCCCCCTCCATTCTCTGCCCTTCTAAGGCTTTCTGTGCCTTCTCCTTCCTCCTCCAGCGACCGCCTGGCCCTCCTCCAGGTCCGTTCGATCCTCCAGCCCCTCGGGCTGGAAAGCACCTGCGACGACAGCATCATTGTGAAGGAGGTGTGCACGGTGGTGGCCCGGCGTGCCGCTCAGCTGTGCGGGGCAGGAATGGCTGCCGTGGTGGACAAGATACGGGAGCATCCTGGGCTGGACTTCCTCAAGATCACCATTGGTGTGGATGGGGCCCTTTACAAACCCCCCCCTCAGTAAGTCCCTTGTACAAGGCCTCGCCTAGGGGGACCTCCCCCCCCCCCATGGGAGGGGATAGAGACAGAGGACTTCACTGCTGCTTTTGGTCAGGATTGTAGGGGAGAATCGATTCTTGCAAGAATATTCTTACACCATGCCTTTTGGATGCCCAAACGCTGCAAGCTCTCCACCAGAAGCCCCCGGCGCTTCTGTCTTCAGAACCTGCAGGGCCAAAGCCAGAAATTATACGTCTTCCACTGTCAAACAGCCGGCCCAGTCTGTCCTGGATTTTAAAAATGTCTTGCCTTTTAATAAAAGCCAACAGACGATGGGAACGAAACTAAGGCAGGCTTTGTCTGGCCCCTTTCTGGTCCATTTGCCCTCGTAGCCAAAGAATAAGAAAGTTGAGGAGACGTTTGTTTCTTAACTGGGCCATTGCCTCAGTTTCCTTTTTGACTTTTGTGACTAAGGGAATGAAGGACTACTTTCTTTCGCCCATTTAATGGAAACTGCGAGACCCCCTTCCCTCCTTTTCTTGTGGAATTGAAGCCACTGCCCAACAATTTGTCTTTGGTGTGTTTTGAGCCCTTTTCCTCTCCCTCTTTGCCCTGCCATGTCCTCCTCCTTCAGTGCTTGAGGCCTCTATCCTTTATGAATCCCCAGGTACAGGCAGCAACACCTGCTACATGGAGGAGATGAAGAACATAGAGCTGGTGGATGGGGACGAGGGCCGGATGTGCATCAACATGGAGTGGGGGGCCTTTGGCGACAACGGCTGCCTGGACAACGTTCGGACCGAGTTTGACATCGCTGTGGATGAAAACTCCCTCAACCCTGGGAAGCAAAGGTGAGGGGGGTGTGTGTGTGTGGAGGGGGTTGTTTTAGGGCAGGGATCCTCCTCCCCCTCCCCATTTGTCTGCATTGTTTCTCTCTCCTATCCTCACATAATCTTTAACACACTCAGATCTGCTGTCAAGTATTTTCCTTGTGTGTGGTTTGAGGGGGGAGCAGGACCCCGGTAGCCTTTTTTGAGGACCCCAGTGCCCTGATACTGATTTTTAAAAAATATATAAAAAAAATTTAAATGGGAGTTCCACTGCTGTGGGTTACCAAGAGCTATGGTTGACACATGTGGAATAAACTGCCAGCCCAAAAACTTCACAACCAAAAGGGCATGTTTTGTCACCTTCTATTTTGACTTTTTTCCTCTCCCCTTGAAAAAGAGTGCCCTTATGGGAGGGGGGAATCTCTGTGCCGGGAGCAGCCCACGGTAGGTGTTTAGGGTGGAAAAAAGGAACCCCACTCTTGCTAAAGCACCCAATCTGCCTCAGTGTGCCCTTGAGGCTTAAAAACAGGCCTGCAACCCCGGTTCTGTCACCAGAAAGAGATCCGGTCCAGGCAAAAGGTGTTGTTGCTCCTCATCTGTGCGAAGGCCTTTCCCCTGCAAGGCCGGGGTCGTCCTTTCTCCGCTGGACATTGGCCCTTTTCTTTTCCCAGGTACGAGAAGATGATCAGCGGGATGTACTTGGGCGAGATTGTCCGGAACATCCTGATTGATTTCACCAAGCGAGGGCTGCTCTTCCGAGGCCGGATCTCCGAGCGGCTGAAGACCCGGGGGATTTTCGAGACCAAGTTCCTTTCGCAGATCGAGAGGTGAGAGCTGAGCGGGAGCTGGTGGAGGAGGAGGAGGGGAGAGCCCTCTAGGCTGAGCCCTGCAGGGACCTCCCTGGGAAAGGCCAAAAAGCATCATGGACCCACATCCGCCCCATGGACACAGGCGGAGAAGGCGGAAGGGGACACCCTTGACTTGATCCCTTCCGGAACCTCACAGGGACAATCGAAATATATATTATTGGTATATAACAGGGTGCCCTTTTGTTTCCTGCCTCAGGCGGCCGGAGAGCTTGGGCTGATCCATTCTGTCCCCATCCTCTCCGCGTCTCTTTGCTGCCACCTGGAGGTTATAAAGTGCAGTATTCTGCTGATAACTGCTCTTGGTAGCAGGTGAAACCCAGAGATGATCACAGGGCTCTGTATTTGTCCCTTTTCCATTTAATCATCATCCTCAGAGAGCTGCAGAGTTGGAAGGGCACCTATGGATCATCGAGTCCTGCTCCATGTCAAGGAGGCCGGGGTGTGTGTGTGTGCGGAATCAAACTCCCAATCTCTGGCTCCTCAGCCTGAAACCTAAACCTCTGAGCCCTCCAGCAGTTCTCTGTGATACATCCAGAGTTATTCCGGAGACCCTAGGCCAGTACATGCCCCCCCTCCACCCCCCTCGCATCTGCTTTGTGACAGGGGCTCCTTTTTAGCAGGCGCAAATTATTTTTCTCAGCTCCAAGCGGTGTTGCATTCTTTCCCGTCCAGAGACCCTAGGCCAGTACATGCCCCCTCCCCCCCCCGCATCTGCTTTGTGACAGGGGCTGGTTTTGAGCAGACGCGAATCGTCTGAGAAATTATTTTCCCCAGCTCCGAGCGGTCTTGCATTCTTTCCAGCCAAACTGTCAGGCGTGTTCTCTCTTGCTCTCGCTCTCGCTCTTTCGCTCTAGTCCCCCTCCATTCTCTGCCCTTCTAAGGCTCTCTGTGCCTTCTTCTCCTTCCTCCTCCAGCGACCGCCTGGCCCTTCTCCAGGTCCGTTCGATCCTCCAGCACCTCGGGCTGGAAAGCACCTGCGACGACAGCATCATCGTGAAGGAAGTGTGCACGGTGGTGGCCCGGCGTGCCGCTCAGCTGTGCGGGGCAGGAATGGCTGCCGTGGTGGACAAGATACGGGAGAACCGTGGGCTGGACTTCCTCAAGATCACCATTGGTGTGGATGGGACCCTTTACAAACTCCACCCTCAGTAAGTCCCTTGTACAAGACCTCGCCTGGGGTGACCTCCCCCCCCCCATGGGAGGGGATAGAGATAGAGGACTTCACTGTCGCTTTTGGTCGTCAGGATTGTATGGGGGGGAATCAGTGCAGAATAGGGTTTCTTTTGGGGGTTCATTGAGGTTCTACATCTCTTGCGTCTGGCTCCAGAACTGTATTCCTTAGGGGTACATGCATGCGCTTTAAATTCTTGCAAGAATATTCCTATACCGAAGGAGCCTAGATGTTGACCACAGGGACTGAAGTCTTGACACCCTTTGATCTGGGGTAACACTTGCTGAACAGCTTCATTTTCCTTTCCAACAGCTTTCAAGTCCCTAGGTCAAGAAAGGTAGGACTGAAGATCTGTGTCGAATGATCTGGCTGAAGCCATCAAGCCCACAGTTCTCTCAGCTTGCTAGGACCGAAGGGCGTGGCTCCCTCCTTGTGGATTCCCACAAGTGGCACTTCTGCAGTGCAGGGATTTAGCGCTAGAGCCCTTTCGCACTGCAGCCTGAAAAGTGCATGAGAGAACGAGCGCTTCTCATTCTAAGCCCCTCTCCCTAGGAGAGGGCCATGGCCGTTCAAGGTGATGTCAGACGGCTAGGACTGTGGATGATAGGTGCACCCCAGAGCTTTCAAGGTTTCACCAAGCATCATTCGCTGCATGATTTCGGTCATATCACGAAGACCAGAAACTTTCTTCAAAATGAACGAGGCTCCCGTAGGATCAACCATTTTTGTGCCCTAGCAGAGTAATCTGCATGCTTCCAACAGGAGATCTTGGAATACCTTAGTGCTGCCTGAAACAAAACCAAGACGTAAAGAAATGCAAGATATAGTAAAATTCCTTCACATCCAGCCCAAATTCCTGGACACCATTTTTTACAGTTGTTAAAAAGGCAAAAGGTTTTTAATACCAATGAAATAAATGATGTATCCATCACTCTATCCACTACATCGCACTAGGTATCCCAGGGGTTAGTGTGGATAGAGAGATGGGCTCAGGGGGCCTGGGTTCAAATTCCCCCTCAACTGGAAACTCACTGAAGGAGTGGAACTGGTAAAACCACTTCTTAAATGTCTCCCTCACCTTGAAAGCCCTCTCAAAGTCACGATGAGTTTGTTCTAACTTGCCAACACAGAACAACAAAGCAGCTTAAAATGAAAATAAACAAAATAATAAAAAGAGGAGGACGAGAAGGGAATGAAGGGTTGATGGGGGGGTCACAGTACAGTGCATGAGATTTTCTTGGGCTGACTCCTGTGTTGCCTTTTCTTCCTTTGTCTGCAGTTTCTCCACAGTGATGAAAGAAACGGTGAAGCAACTTTCGCCCAAATGCGAGGTGACGTTCCTGCAGTCCGAAGACGGGAGCGGCAAGGGGGCGGCGCTCATCACGGCCGTGGCCTGCCGGATCCGGGAGGCCGGGCAGCACTGATCAGCCGAGCCGAATCCCCCAAAGCCACCGGCTGTGGGTGTCCCCGGGATGTCCCGAGCACCACAGGCTGACTCCTTGCTTTCCTCTTTCTTACGATACCGCTGCTGAGACCCACGACACTGTGTCTCTTGTGTCAAAAGCATCCCTTCCACTCTTCTGCATGACGTACGCGTGCATATCCGGTCCGGCTTAAAGCGCCTCTTCTAGGAGGTGCAGCCTTGCTGTCCGTGTCCCAGCTCTTCCCTGGAAAGGGTGGGCTCCTAGGACCTCAAGGTTCTGCTTCACACCACCTGGGCCCCTATCTTTTTCTCCCTCGGTGTCCGAACCTTAGCATCAGCACAGGCAGAAAAATATAGAGGAGCCCAATCTTTTTGAAGAGTGGGTGGAAAGATCAACGTGGCGTTTCTGTGAAAAGACGTGGCGCCTTTCTTTTAAAAGCACAGGATGGGGTACTCCTTTCAAGACTGGGAAGTCCAGGGAAGGTCTTTATGAGGGAAAGGAGGCGTACTGCTATTAAAACAGGGATGGGAACTAAACACAGGGTCCCCACGTGGAGTTTTGTCGAAGGGCCTCGTTAGTTTGAACAGCCGAGCACAAGCTGAGGGATATCTGGAGCTTTAGAGATGGCCTTGTTCCCGGGCTTGCCCCACTCATTTGGGTCTAGATGTGTCTGATAGCGTTGTTGTTTGATTGATTTTGTGTGTGTGTGCGTGTGTGTGCGTGCGTGCGTGCGCGCGCGCCTGTGTGTATGGCAGCTGCCACAGATCTTTCTCTGCTTTGTGCTGCTTTGTAAATAGAACCGTTACCCCCATCCAAATTTCCAATCCCCCCCCTTTTCCTCAAAGGGTTCTCAAAGCACGGACCTTTGCCACGATTTGGGGGGAGTTATTTATTCCTTGGTCCTGATGGCACACCTTCACTTGACCTCACAACTGGCACGACCCTTTCATAGCAAATGTTTGTGTGTCAGTTTCTGTACCTAGTCTGGGAAAAAAATAATATTCAGGGATTCTGTGTGTAGGACATTGTTTGTATTTATGTGCGGGTGAAGAGTGAGTCAGAAAATAACGCAAATCAAAAATATTTGCAGACGGAGTGGTGGGTGAGTGGGTTGGTGGGCTGAAGTGGAACAGAGGAGAGACCTTTCTTTCCACAAAGAAATACTTGAGAGAGTCAGGTCATTTCAAGATAAGTTCATAGGAATTGGATACCAAGAGAACTGGGTCTTCCCGGGGGGAGGGGGTGCCTCAACTGGGAGACAAGTCATCACTGTTGGAAAATGGGCACGCAGGTGCCCCCACTTTAGATGGTGCCCTGCAAACTCTGCTCTGCACTTCCTTTCCTTTTGTGGGTCCAGCAAGGGTGCCCCCAGAGAGCAGAGCCTTGGTATATACCGTGCTTGGACTGGAACTCCCAAGTGGCAATGGGGAAAACGGCAGGAACAAAAGCATTGCACAAATCTGTCCTGAAAAGGAGCATTCTGGATTTTGCTTTTCGCCCAAGATAAACCATGAGTAAGACAGACATTCCTCCCACTGCCTCCAAGTCTTATCTATCTTCCTTCCTCAAGTCCAACTGAGGTGTAATCTCTAGTTTATGCCGGTACGAGATTTGGGCCCAGTCGTTTTCTTCCCAGCCATCAGAAACAAATCATTTAACCAGGTCTTTTAAGAGTGCCAAGCATCGGAGGTGAAGTGGACTGTGTTAGCTGCTTCCTGTAGAGGCTCAAAAGTTTAATTTTAAACTTTAAAAAAAGCGGAAAAATAATTGAACCTCTTGAATGATTTATTGAGAAGGGCAATTGCCAGTTCGTAGGTTTGGCTTGTTTGTCAGTTCACTGTGAAGAAATAGATGGTGGTTTTTCCTATCGGAAAGTCATTGCTATGGTGGGAAATGCTTGCATTTCCTCCACTGCAGACTTTCCAGTTCACATTCAAAGAAACAATTAAGTATTTTTGTTCCCTGTTTAACAGAAGGCAGTGCCTGTCTGTGGTGTACACAGTAAAATCTTGGCTAGGCAATCGATTTAAAGGGAGATTTCCCCCCCACCTCTATTTTTTTATCTCTATATCTTTATATTTATATAACTTGGGGTAACTTAAGAACCAAAAGTGCATCTCCAGGGAGGTGTGGATTCAAAGTTAAAAACACATTTCCTTATCCTTTTGAAATAGTTTCCTCTTTTATAAAAGCTTCAGAGTAGCAATAAAGACAGTTTTCTGCAAATAATCTGTATAGAAATAGCTAAATGGAGAAGCATCCAAATAAATGGAAATATTTTTTTATCAAAGGAAAACTGGGGGTAGGGGAATGACTAACTATACCAAACAGTTTTGAATAAAGATTGTAGTGGGGGGAGGGGGGAATTGCACCTGCCTCCGGAAACGACGGAAACAGAAGCCCCTGATCTACTGTATTATGGGGAAAAAATGATGAGAAATGTATATTTTTTTAAAACTTGAACATGAAAGATTGCCAAGATTGTACCTTCTCTGGAAAAATGGGTTGTATTTCACTTGCTGTGAACTTTATTTAGTGAATAGTAATTTTTTTCTTTTACAGTGATTGTTTATTGAGAGGGGGGAAAAGAGTAGTAATAAAATATATTTTGTGTGTGACAGTTTTGGAGCTGGACTCATTATAGCAAGCATTCCATGGGTTAAACCAATAGTCGTCATCATCATCCTCATAATGTTCCATCATGCCAATTCCAACTGAAGGCAACTCTTTCCCCTTCCCTTCCTCTAGGGGTCTGTGCAGCTTGCCCAAGGACACCCAGGCTGGCTCTCTGCTGGCAAGAGGCTCGGTGAGAATCCCAGCTCCTAACCTTAGCCAAAGACCTAAACCACTGGGCAATCCATAACTGGAATAGCAAACAGATAAAGTCCTGTGTACATTACAAAGTACAGTAAATCCAGAAAAAAGCACTCACTGGTGCTGCAGCTGATGGCGTTCCTCCTACTTCTTTGTAATACGCATTTATTTATTGCCTTTCTATGCTGCCTTTCAGCTGTGGTGCTCAAGATGGTTCACAAGTCATTAAAAGAACAGGGGGGGGGAACCACATAAACAGCAATTTAAATTATTAAATGGGCCATTAAAATCATATAAAACAAATTAAGACACATAGAGGCATTTAAAAACACATTAAAAGAATATCTTAGGAGCGAATGTGGGGGCGTTTTGTTAAAATGAGATATTCAACACCCAAAACCTATTGGGATAACCATTTTTTCACTTGCCGTCCACCTCATATGTCTCCTGGCAGAATTAGGACGTAGGCGGGGGGGAGAGGGGGCAAAGTACGTAGACTGGAGCTCCAGATGGGGGCAGCTGGGTTCTAGAACCCCATCTCGGACCACTGGAGGCCCCCAGATAAAGTGCTTGGTTGCAAGGGGGGATTCCTGGTGAGATATGGCTTACTCAAGAGTAGGGATCTTCCCTGCTCTTTCGCTTTTCCTCTGGGGAGAAGGATAGTCCAAATCCTGCAGCTGAGCTGTGCTTCCCATGAAAACAAGCAGCCCAAAGACCGACAGGTTTTCTCACAGTGGCAGCAATTCTTGGCTTTTCTTACTGGGCCTTGTGCCCTCGGCTTCCTTCCCTCCTGTGTGCAGAGCATGGGTAGTTTTACTGGGTCTTCCGGTATCCTTGGGGATTGCTTTCTGCTTAGGAATTCCTGGAGCAAGTCACTGGAGGGTTTAAAGGATGGTGGTGCACGCACAGAAGAAGCCCCTTCTCTGTTGGCAGAACCAGTCAGGGAGATATTTGGGGAGAAACCTACACCTCAATGATCATGCAAGCTGCATTTTCTACAAAGTTGGGAAAGGTGCTGGATCCCTACCCCCCCCCCAATTGCATGTGACCCCTGGAACTGGGGTGAATTTGGAGCAAAGTGGGGTGATCAGTCAAGCAAGGAGGCTAGTGGGCCAGGTTTTAATTTTCAGCATGGGCTTCCCAAAGATCCTGCCCCAAGAGCTACTTTGCTGTCTTCTGCTTTCTGAGCAAAAACCTCACTGCTCGGCTATGCACCAGGTGGTGCTGTGGGGCTTTGCATGAAACCGGTGCATTCTAGAAACAAGGTCTGTTTCTCCCCCACTTCTTTTGAACTGACTGCAGTTTTCACAAAAACTGGCTATCAAACTCACCCTCTTGAGAAAAACAACATATTTTAGCAAAGGATCTAAGGCTAAATCATAAATGTTCATAAATGGCCGAATGGGCCCCCTAAGGAGGCACAGAAAATTCCAAGGCAGGTTTGAGATTGTGAGGTGCCTACAGTGAACAAAGTTTTTAATCAGCTTAAAACAATTTCTTTTTGGTCATTTTCACATGGAGGGGCAGCATTTCAATCAATGTGGAAGCCGGAGAATGACATCAAACACGATTTATTTATTACCTTTGCTTTATATACCATCCCATTAGGTCAGGGCAGTATTCTGGGTGGTCCACAACAAGTAAAACCACCAGTAATATAACAGAAAGTGTATAAAAACAATAAAAAGCATCGAGCCATCATAAACCACCAATGGTACAAAGGCACTTTATGAGAGCGAAGACGGAGGTGTGGCATCAAGGAAGTTCTCCCTCAAAACCGGTGTCATAAGCTGCCTTCTGGATGTTCGCTGAGAGGGTTGCCAGGCATGGCTCTGCTGAGAGCTGGTTTGGTTGAGTCAGTGCCTGCTCCTCCTAGAAGACTTTATCAATAGGACTTCCCCAAACCTTCCAGGACACCAAGAAGACAGTCAGGGAGCAAGTCCAGGACACGGACAGAGAGGTGGTCTGGTCTGTGAGTCTCCTACACCCAAGCTTCTCGGGACCAGTCCCAAGGCCAGAGGGGCAGGTTCATCGCATCCATGGTGTTCCTAGCAAGAAAGCACTTCATTGGGATAACAACCTGTGCTGGGTAGCTGGCGCCTGGGATGGGGGCCATTGTTTTCATAGGGCCACAATTAAGAGACAGAGTCTGATTTAAGAGTCCATTAAGAATGGCTTCCCTGTGAGGGAAAGCAAAACAGAAGATGGGTTTGCTATTTTCCCTGCTGCATAAGGGTGGAAGGCAGTTCACCGCAGTGACTTCTGGGGGGCCAAGTTGTCTTGAGTGACACTTGATGGTGCACTACAATGCACTGAAAGACAATCCCAAAGAGGGTTTTTGGCCCCAAGTTTCAGAATGTGAAATGCCTGCAGCTGGAGGCTACAGGAGATTGGCATCCAAGCATCAAGTGAAAGTGGGAGAAGCCTTTTATGAATTGGCAGTTGGGTTTTATTTTCTTTCTTTGTTAAAAGGAGGTTGGTTGGTGGTAAAGAGAAGGTGAATGAGTGTGAGGATTTCTCACATGAAAAAAGGCAACACGATGCCCAAATGTCTGGGATCGACTCACCCAAAGTCTTCCAGACAAGAAAGCTTCCTCTGTTTCTCTCTCCGTCCCAATGCTGCACATGGAATATAATATGTGCAGGGAGGTAGTTGTGCTGCAATTAAACCATCAGGGGTCTTGTGGCAGAAAAGAGGTTTTTTGCCTGTCTTTGACCCGGTTGCCCCTAAGCCTGTGGGTGCATTTTGCTAGAACTGCCGAGTGCAGGACGGGGCTCCTTCAGATGTTGACCACCGAGTCCTGCCCCTCAAAATCCTTGGAGCCTCTGTGTCTCCTGGCGTGATCCGTGATGCATGCAATACTGCCTGTTCCCTGGAAGCATCTTCGTTCGTTCGTTTAGTCGTTTAGTCATGTCCAACTCTTTGTGACCCCATGGACCAGAGCACGCCAGGCCCTCCTATCTTCCACCGCCTCCCGGAGTTGGGTCAGATTCATGTTGGTTGCTTCGGTGACACTGTCCAACCATCTCATCCTCTGTCATCCCCTTCTCCTTTTGCATTCACACTTTCCCAACATCAGGGAATTTTCCAGGGAGTCCTCTCTTCTCATGAGATGGCCAAAGTATTGGAGGCTCAGCTTCAGGATCTGTCCTTCCAGTGAGCACTCAGGG